GATTATTTTACTAGTTAGAGACGAAGCGGAGACATGTAGGCGCCATTTGCGCGAAACTTATGTTTGTATTGGCTTCCTTCGTAGGTGACAAATGCCATTAACAAGATCCAGGATTCGCAGACAGCCTATTCATCGGTCTCCCAGCATGAATATATGTCACCAAACACAGCGCGCGCACCGCCATCGTCCACACGGCCCCCACTTCCGTCAGTATCCTCGACACCGAGAGCCCCACCACCACCAGCACCACCGGCACCACCTCCACCACCAGGGCCGCATTCCGGAGAGGGGATTCCTTCACCAGATCCCGGCAACGGCGGCGGCGGCGGCGGCGGTGGTTTCCTGAATGATATAAGGAACTTCAATAAGAACAAGCTCAAAACGGTGTGTCACATTCATGCTTGTGTTTTGCAGGTTTCCTACGAACACGTAAGTACACAGACCTCCTGTAGAAACGTCCCTTTTTATAGAACACCAGATGCACCTTCCGGCTTCTTTGAGTTGACAGTGTGATGGGTTGATTCGGGTGTCATTATCATTAAAGATAACCATAGAAACAGGCTTTCTGGCAGCGGTATAGTTTATTCGCGTACTGAAAGAAACAGGGCTAGATTCAGATACTTGCTAATTATATTAAGAAGAAGAAGCAGCGATTACTGGGATAAGTTTATCGGCATTACGTTTCGAATTCTCACATCAGAGACGGTGGGAAACCTTTGTCTGCTATGGTAGGGGGCACTCACCAATCGTTCTTACGGACCTCACTCGTCCCGTTGTGCCCTCGAGCTCAACCAGCAGCCGCACAGCGGCGCATGATATAGGCAGAATGGCATTATCGACAAAGACAAGGGAGACTGGAATGGCCACTTCTGGCTTATTGGCCGTCGTCAGCCAGCCATACCCAGCCCCGAAGTGTGCAACACCTGGGGCTCGGTCCTGCGACCTGTTAGTTAGGAGTTCAACGCCTCTAACCACTGGGCCACGAGCCCGTTGTCCTGTCGGTTTCAATCGGGAATATACAATGGTAGAGGGGCGCTCACTGATCGTTCTGCCTATATCATGCGCCGCTGTGTGATTGCTGCTTGGGCTCAAGAGATAGCCCATAAGGCACAACGGAACGAGAGAGTTCCGTAAGAACGATCGGTGAGCGCCCCCTACCATTGTATATACCCGAGCGAAAACCGACAGGGCAACGGGTTCGTGGCCCAGTGGTTAGAGGCCTGGACTTCTAACTAGCAGGTCGCGAGTTCAAGCCTCGGATGTTCTACCCTTCAGGGTTGGGTATAACTGGCTGACGACGGCCAATAAGCCAGAAATGGCCATTCCAGTCTCCCTTGTATTTTTCGGTTATGCCATCCTGCTTACGTCTGCTAATTATATATTATTCGGCCTTTATTCTACTTAACTTAATACCGATCCCCAATTATGACGAGAAACACGACAGTTCGACCGTCGTTTCCTACGATATCCATAGTGTGTTCCACAGCAAGTTGAGAAGAGGAACGGTGACTTTCCCGGAATTAATTTACAGTGATTGTGGACTTGCGCCGCATCTACCGCACTCTCTCCTCCTCTCTCACCTGGACCCGTTGTCAAGACGGAGCCCAGAGGACCGGAGGCGGGGAGGGCGCAGGTGGATGGCGCGGTCGAACCCCCAACTTGGCGTTCCACTCCACACCCCCTGTAACACACAGTAAATAACCAGGTTTTGGCCAGCAGCAGTAGTGCGGCCGCAGTGTGGGCGACGACTGCCGACAACCGGGTCTGCCACCGCACCCCAAAATGTTGGCATTCGTTATGTTGCGCAATCCGATAACGTCCGCCAGAATCCGATATGACTCGTGTGTCGATCCAGCGCATCTACAAATTGGCCCATTTTGGGGACAACTGAAGAGAAACACAGACATTAGAACTCACATTTCCCCACTTTTCGCTAGTATTAAAACCTCATGTGAACAATATTTTTGATCGGACGGCGCATCCAACGTGTTAAGGGGAGGCCTTAGACAGTCTAGTCGTTCTTGTTGTATCGGACTTAAGACGCATTACTATGATGTTGTCTGTATGCGACCGCATCATATCTTTTGCTTCAGTTTTCTTCTCTCTACTCCTTTGCATGGACTTTCACACCGTTTTCTTCCATGGAAGGTCCTGAAAAGCATACCTCTCAGGTCTTAATATTCAGTACTTCGTAATTCAGTCAATATTTCCTTCACAATTTTTACAGTAAAAACTAAATTCCTCCTTCTTAGACCACCGTCACTCCATCTCGGCAACCGTCCTTCTCCTCTCCGGGTGGAGTCACTGTTGATTCGCTCGGAGACGCACTCGCGAAGCTGCTGGAAAGTCGACGGATGCATCTGGAGTCGGATACTGACAGCGACTTTGAATGATGAAGGGAGAAAAAGTGCACATAAATCCCCGATCTGCCTACATTCCTGCCATATGAACAGTCATTAGGTTTCCAAACCCCCACATTCAAATAGATGCGTAAAGAATAAAGCCTACACTGTCTGTGATATGCTGAAGGCTTTACAGTGTGCAGTGAGTTGTTGGTTTGAAGATTTGCTAGGTGGGACGATAGAGGCATGACACTTAGTCTGCTAGGGGGGGCGGGGGGCGAAATATTCGCTGAGAATGTGCCGAAAGCAGACACAACTCGTTCAAATTCGTGTAGGAGTGCTTCGTCGGCGCTGGAAGCGACAGCTGAACGAGCGCCAATTATATGGCCTGCTGGCCAATTATCGGCCGATGACGCAGAGGAAAGACGACAAAATTATCATTCGGTTTGCTGACAAGGAAGAATCAACTGTCGCGATGATCCGAGAAGACTATAACGAAAGAGTTGGACCCTTTCTTGATGACAGAGGATTTTACAGACCTGCATAGAAATCACAGGTCAAAGCGGTGGCGGACTGGCTGAATAAACTGCCTAGAGAATACCGATGCAAACATGTGACCACGGAGAGTAAATGGCACCAAGTGAAGACAACTGACACCTCTCCGGCTCGATTCTGTGGTTTGCTAAAAATTCGTAAACCTAATGTCCCACTACGGCCAATCGTCGCCCTAGTAAGCAGTCCCACCTACCATTTGTCAAAAAGGATGTACTCAAATCTGAAGTTTCTCTATGGCAATTTGACTATCTCAGATCGATCGATCTTTCAATTCCTCATAGCCCTCAGAGGTCGGAGGATTCAGTCGAACGAAATCCTGGGTCTTTTTTGATGTGGCGTCGTTATTCACATCCATTCCACCGAACCTGACGCACGATATCTCGCGCAAAACAATTCCGCCTTCATCCGGTATGACCACGTATTTTGGCGTCGTTATGTAGACGACACGTTTGTTATCGTAAGAAAGGATATGCTACATTAGTTCCACAACCCGCCCTGATATAAAATTTATGAAAACGTATTTCAGAGTTTCAGTTGACATTTCATGAGATCAGTCGCTGACAAAAACATACCGGAGTACTTACTCCAAGTTCGTATGATAGTTTCTGAGAAAATTTAAAAATTCAGCACAAGCCCTGGAGTATATGCCACAGGAAACTCTGGGTGACCCAATGATGAGCCGAACCTCTCCTGCAGCTGATTTATGCATCGGCAGGAACTCGGCGAGTCACGTGCTTAGGCTTTTAACTAGTACTTGTTATATCGTTATGGTGAGTAATTCAACATTTGTATGCTAATACCTACTTGTTCTAAGCTTTTGAATATCAGGCAGATGAAATCATGGTTACCTTCGATGTGGCGTCGTTATTCACGTCCATTTCACCAAAATTGGCCCGCGAAGGCTTGCGCAAGAGACTTGAAGAGGCGTACGATGAGACTCAGAATGCACTCAACACTGAACACCTCCTTAGGCTGTTTGAATTCTACCAACAAACTTTCTTCACTTTCGCTGGAGAGACCTATGAACAAATCAAGGGGACTCCAATGGACTCATCGGTCCCCGGTTTAGTGGGCGCACTGGTCCTACAGGAGTTAGAAAAGATTGCTTTCATTCAACACGAACCGCTGTTCTGGCGCCGTTACGTAGACGACACGATCGTCATCGTAAAGAAGGACATGCTGCAACATTTCCACAGCCTTCTCTATGCAGCCTTCCCTGCTATAAAATTTACGAGGGGAGGATAACAGGAGTAGCAGTTTCCCTCCCTACGTGTGCTCGCCTGACAAAACCTTAACGGCGAACTTGAAACGGTCGTTTATAGGAGGACAACGAAAACCAGAACACTTCTCAGTTTTTACAGCAAACATCCGGTTGCTTACAAAGGAAGCTGTGTAAAAACACTTCAAACGGATCAAAAAATGGAGGAAGAGAACGTGAGGCCGGTGATCTCCGCGACCAATTTATGCAGAATGATTATCCGAAGGCACTTATAAGCCGCTGTTTATGTGGTCGCCCCCAGAGGACCCAAACCGCAAGAATATGGCGTTCTCCGCCAAACAGTAAGGACGTTTCAGAGGCAACCGAGCGCATTGCTGCGGAGCTAGGTGTTGGAATTGCACACCGGCCCGAAGCCACCATGCGTAGTAGGGTTCCAAAGATAAAAGACCAGGTAAACCCCGAAGAGCAATCCAATGCCAAAACTGCCAATAGAAGCGAACAGACGAGTCCCAGGAAGCAGTCTTGAAAAGGAAGAAGACACGATCGCCGGGACAAGAGCTTTATTAGCCTGACGTTTCGGATTCCTGCTCGAATCCATCATCGGAGACATAAGCAGATAAGGGTGGTTCGTGCACATGCGGCTGCAGTATTTATAGGATGCAGTAGCCATGCTACCGCATACCTATGAATATTCACGGCTCTCTCCCCTTCATTAGGCCTCGTTGCACGTGGCGTGATGGCCGATATTCGCGTCGTTAATTGCTGCAATTTCATCACGTGCGTTGGATGTTGGCGTGATGATTGCTCGACCATCTGACGCGCTGACCCGGGTGTTGGGACGAGTGTTCACCAGTGCGCTCTCGGCGTGGCCAATTACTCCGCCTAGACGAAGTCTCAGCACGCTGTATTGAATGGGAAGATCATTGCACTTGTTGATAGACTGGGGGCCAGTAAACCATGACTCAAGCAGCTCCCAGCTCACGCGGTTGTTACCTCTTGCGAGAATTTCGGCCTCGTCAAATTTGAATGTGTGGCCGGAACCCGTCTGTTCGCTTCTATTGGCAATGTATTTGGGCGCGATGCGCTCCGATCGGCCCGGCGATGGGAAACCTTCGCCCTTCGGGAGGCCTCCACGTATTCGCAGATCCGGTTTCTACACAGGTGTCTCGACAATAATGTGTTGCCGAAATGTGTTTCATACATGCCTCCGGTTAACACAGATTTGGCGAGACGAGCAGTATTTCAACATGGCAGAAGGATAATCCGAGTGCTCCTCCAAGATTGCCACGCGAGACTTCGCAAGTGCCGTCAAAGGATTGACCAAGAAAAGACCAGATGTTGTGAGTTCATGGGTGAGATCGGTACAAATCTGCTCCTGCAGAGGATAGCTGAACAAGCCCGCGAACAGAGAATGATACGCGACGCAGCACTGGAGA